TGTAATCATTTTGTGATTTTATTGAGATGCATTACAAAGCATATATTGTATGATGCTTTAAGAAGTTAAGAAGCCTAAGAAAAATGACTTAATTTATTATTTAGATTGCCATGAATTCATTCGTAAAATGATATAAAGGACTGAATTGTATAGGAATAATTTAACCAAATAAGGTAGCTGAGTGCCTAAAAACAATTGGAGACTTGAGACAGTGACAAGATTTTCTAGCAGTCAATGTGATGTAAAGGGTGTGTGGTGAAGACAGTTCTAGCTCTTATGTGGAGAGGGTGGAGGGAATGAGACACAAAATACAAGAAAAAGTAATAGGCGACATGAATTGTGGATTTTTGGTAGTTTTGTGTGAGGATATAAGTTCAAATATTAATACCATGATTGTATTAAAAAAATAGGAGCAAAATAATTTACGTTTAGCAAAAAATTTTAAAAAAAATGTTTTAATATAAATAACTTTAGTAACATATGGAAAATCCATTGTAGATAAGCTAAAGATTAAAATAGAGAATGAAAGAAGGGAAATTTGCAAAAAGAAAAGGTGGTGGTAGTAAATGACAGTATTTCCATAAAGATTAATTAACAACAATTAAAATTATGAACTCAACTGACTTGGGATATTATGTTCGTAGAATATTCATATGTATACCGTTTTCTTTCGGGCTTCTGGAAAATAATCCATTTCTAATATATCTTCAGGAGAAATATAATTTAAAATTAGTCTTTCATGGTGTTCTAAATTACAGAATATGCATAATATATAAGGGTTTATTGTTTGTTCTTTTAAAAAACATAGAACTATGTCATTTTTAAGAAAAAGAAAGACACAAGCAATGAAAATCATAAGAGAAAAAATAAATGATTTTTTTAAAATATAAATTTTAAATAAAAAATATTAGGTTGTCTCTTTTTCACTTAAAATGACACAAATATATATCCTTTAAAAGAATAAATATTTTTTCCAATACGTAAAAATCTTACATTAGCTTATAACATGTTAACGCATGTAAAAGAAAAAATGTTAATTATTAAAAAGCTTTTCTTATAGCGAGTTTAATTCTAATGCATTGTTAATGTAAAAAAAGTTTTACTTACTTGGAGTGATAGTATCAAAATTAAATAGGAGCAATAATCAATTTATATCAATATAAAAATAAAAAATCTTTCATTAAATTTTAATAGTTGATTTATTTGTTTTTAAAGACTCTAATTTACTAATTATAAGAGTCATTAAATCTAAGCGAGATCAAAGACTAAAAATAAAATTATATCTTACTCTAAAAGAATCCTGCCCCTTAATAAATTCTTCTGAAAACTACTAAGTTTCGGTGATATCAACGTGTATATTTAATGGATTTCGATTTTCTTGTGCGGTAGGAGAAAATTTTCTTATGTTGTAGACACATCTTATGTGGGGTCCACATCTATTAAAAAAATAAAAAAGCAAAAGAAAATGTTGCACGAAAATCAAAGGGTCACTAGTAGGAAAAAACAACTCTCCCACGACATGAGAAAATGTTTTTCCATATTTAATTAAAGTTAATGATTTTTCCAGTTTAGCAATGGACATTACAATAGTTCACAAGTCAAAGTTAAAAAATTCACTTTTTCTTTAAATTTTTATGTAGTAATATCAATAGTGTGTATACATAGATTTTTATTGAGAATAATATAAATTATTAAAAAGGCCCTCACCCAATACCTTAAGATTTTAGATTGAAATAGTTCTTTACATAGATAGTATCAGAACTTCAGTACTATGAGATTACGAGTTCATCCTCACCACCCCACTGTTAGGAATGTGACTTTCATACTCAAGAGGTGGGGTGAATTGAGTATTACAAGATTTTCGTAAAAGCCCTCTTCTAGTTTCTAAATAATCATTTCAAGCAAACTTTGATACGTAGAAAGCTAATCAATATATTCAGACAATCCATAATATATATCACAATTATAAAACTTATAATAGCACATACAAGATATTAGAGAGGCAATTAAAGTGCTAAAAATAAAGAGTATAAGGTTTAGAGAATTGCAAACACAATATATCCTGGTTCGGTCACCACCACTTGTGACCTACGTCCAGACTGAAGCCGCTCGTTCAACTCTCTCACTAATGGTCAAGCTTCACGGGTGCTTGAAAAACCTTTACAATCTTCCAAGACTTTGGGTTCTTGAATACCTTACAATCTCGAAGTTTACGTGACAAACCTTTACAATCTTCCAAGACTTTGGGTTCTTGAATACCTTACAATCTCCAAGTTTACGGGTACTTGGTAACCTTACAATTCACTCCAAATTTACTTAGGTATTTGGCCACCTCTCAAACAATGGGTCTCACAACCCTTTCAACTCAAGCATACAAGGAGATAAATATTTAGAAATGAATATACACTCTCAAAGTGTGGATATACAACTTGAAGCACTATGAGTATATGAATTTTCAAGATATGAGCTCAAATATGTTTGATCTTTGAAAGATATGAAAGAATATGCAAGTGATAGTGTAGAAGCTCTCAAAGTATGCTTAATATGTGTAGGAATGATGCCTCAATGTTTTTGAGTCATTGAGAATGCATATATAGTGTCTTCATTGAAAACTAGCTGTTTATAGCCGTTGGAAAACTAGCCGTTGGGAAACTAGCCGTTTATAGCCGTTGGGATCTTATTTGAAAAACTAGCCGTTTTATAGATGTTTATAGCCGTTGGGATCACTTTTGAAAAATTAGCCGTTTTATAGCCGTTGGGATTTGTTGCAATGATAATCGATTCCCAACTTGACAGCAAGAACACTGTTTCGTATTTTAGCTATAATTTGAGTTATACTTGTCGGATTGATGTGATCTTGGTCTTGTTGGAAAGATAAAAGATAGATATACAACTTTTATGAAGAACACAAGATCCAAATCCATCATATTATATACGAAAAATTGTATGGAAGGAAGCAGCAAAATTAAACAACAAACTTTAAGTTCAAATGTGTTCTAGCTTGCTTCCAACTACTTTTTGTGAAAGATTTTGACTTGATAAATATGTTTTGAAGTTATAAAATATGTCAAGGATCTTTTCTATGAATTTTTCAAATTTCTTTCAAGTATATAAAGGTTATGATTATGCAATTTGAAAAACACATTTACTTTGAGAAAAACTTTAAGATCATGCAATGCAATCTATTATATACCCTCACATATATTCTAAGTCTTAAAGATATATTCTAAATATGATTTTAGACTTAGCTTTATGTCTTGTGTCTTGGATCTTTTCTTGAACTTGATGCTTTGACTTGTTGAATATAAGCTTGACACTTTATTGGTTTTGATCATTTTTCACCATGGTTATGATATTGAGCTTCTCTTAGATGTTGTCCATGGTTAGTTATCTTTGATCTTGTTATTGCTTTTCTAATTGTTCCTTGTTGCTCTTGATCAAATGATCTTGCCTTTTTTTGTTGCCACTTTGTTATCATCAAAACATACATTGTATCTACACCCACTTTCTAGTGAAATTAGATAAGCACAAGATAAAATAAAAAATGGGGTCTGCGCAATATCCACGCTTCAAGCGTAAAAGGCTATTGCATGAGGAGGTGTGTTAGAAAATAATATAAACCGTTAAAAAGTCCACCACTTAACAACTTAAGCTTTTGAATTGAAATGATTCTTCTCTCTAAAAGGGCTTTCATAACATTGCTTAATATTGTGTTTGAAATTATTTTACAAATTAAATTTAAAAGTAAAGTCTCTTTCGAGTCCTTAACAAAAATCACGGTCCCTACTTTTTTCCCTTACAAAAAAAAATACTCATATTAGTCCTCTTTTAGGGACTAAATTGTGTCTTCATTAAATTTCTGCGGGACCACATTTTCAAAGAACTGAAATTATAGAGGGACCAAAAGTTAAATTTTTTTTAAGGGACGAAAGTGGAGACCGTGTTTTTTGTTAGGCATCCAAAAGGGGCTTTACTCTAAATTTAATTTAATTTAAATTACATTCAAATAGGATCAAGTTTGAGTAATTTTTTATTTTACGAGATTTATTTATATGTTTTGTGTATGAGATTAATCCTCCTTTGAAATACTAAAGTTGTCCCTCACATCAAGCATTTTTTTAAAATAAATAAAAAATCCAGTTTGCGAAGAAAATTAAATTAAAAAAGTCTTATAAAAATAAAATGAGATCAGTTACTTTTTTATATACTTTTTAAAATAAATGATTTTATTTCAAAACAAATCTACTTCTTTCATATATAACTTTTTTAAACAAAAAAAAAATCAAATTAGTTTCTACTTAACATTTTCTAAAAATATATTCTTATTTATAACTAAAATTGATGCACTCCAAATATAGTATTTAGGAATTAAAAAGAATGAAGAATAGTAAAAACTAGAGGTAAAATCAGCTAAAGAAAAAGCAATTAAGGGAGTTGATAAACACAAACTCAAACAACAAAACAAAGAGATTCTCTTAGCATTGTGACTATTATAGCCACAAAGCATACCATGAATGTCCAATAATTAAAAAATAAATAAAAAAATGTTCCCTAACAAACCAATAAACCCTTCTCATTCTCCAATTTTTTTATATTATTTTAAAAGTACCCTATAGGTTGGTAAAGCCTTGTCTATAGAAAGTCAAAGAAGCATTCTTTATTATTTTGGGGTATCTCTTGTTGCCTATGGATGGATGGACAATACAAAGTCAAAAGAATAGTTATTCATGATATGATGCTGTTCATATCTTTCGTTTCATAGAGATGCATCACTTTATCTTGCCCCCTCAAGCTTACACATTTGCACGTCCAAACGTGGGAAGCTCTTCCTAGACTATAGTGTCTCCTTTATCAAAATGTCAACCCAACGTGACTACCACATAATCATCTCAAACCTTTGTTTCTTTTGTCTTCTTATATATATATATATAACTACTTAACTTTGTATCTCTCAATTCATGCACAAGAGGTACCTTAATTTATCGGATAATTAACATATACCTGAGGTTACATAACATCATGAGGAATATCCACATCTCTATATGCATGCTTTTAATAGCAATGGTGCACTTAGGGGCAAGTATACCCTCAGTTTTCAACTATGGTGATGCCCTTGATAAGAGCTTGATGTTCTTTGAAGCACAAAGGTCTGGTAAATTACCGTTTCAGCAGAGAGTTAAGTGGCGTGGTGATTCTGGTCTCAATGATGGATCTCAGCAAGGAGTGAGTCTCCATGTGTTTACTGATTATTCTATATGTTTATTACATTGTATTTGTTTAAAGTATTGGATCAACATAAAGCCTTGGCTTTTCTGCCTTTTAAGTTTTTTTGTGTTGTGTGATATTCAGGTGTGCTTGGTAGGAGGATACTATGATGCAGGAGATCATGTGAAATTTGGGTTGCCAATGGCATTTAGTGTGACAATGCTTTCATGGGGAGCCATTGAGTTCAGGAAGGAGATCACAGACTTAGATCAAATGGCACACACATTATGGGCCATTAAGTGGGGAACTGACTACTTCATCAAAGCACATACTCAGCCTAATGTTCTTTGGGGACAGGTAAAACTAATGCAAAGACACAAAAATTTTGGTCACCAATTTCATATGACCAAGTTATTATAGAACTTTCCCATTCACAAATTTCCTGATTAAGACCATAAATATTTTTTTTTATTTCATTTGACAGTATTACATTGGGGTATACACGGGTCGAATTGAACTGAATTTCTTGAAGAATTGAACGGAATTGGTTTAAACTAATTCAGTTCAAAGAATCGAATTTTTTTTTTTACCTCAAACTGATTCGGTTTAGTTCGATTCGAAAATAATTCTATTCGAGGCGAACCTATTCTAAAAAGAAAAGAAATAAAAAAAAATTTAAAAAATAGAGTAATAAAAATAAAGAAAAAATAAAAGAAGCCAGTTCAGATTTATTTTTTAAAAAAAGGAAAAAGAAATTTTGTTTACGAACTGGTTTTTTAAACCAGACTGGTTTATGAACTGATTCTTTAAAAATAAGTTCAGTTCATGAATTAATTTTTAAAAACCAATTATTTTAAGTGCAGCGCAGTTTAATTCACAGTTCGATTAAGGTTTTTGTTTCTTTTATCCCTAGTATTACATGTAACTGTATGAGTAAAATCAGATATAACTATTTATTGGATGATATTTATTAGTGGCTCTTTTCAACAATACTATTACTCTGGTTGAGTGCAAGGTGAGCTTATGTTATATTAAGATTTTGCTTTGCTGTGGGAAATTTCAGGTGGGTGATGGAACTTCTGATCACTACTGCTGGGAGCGTGCTGAAGACATGACAACTTCAAGGACTGCCTATAGAATTGATGAAGAACATCCTGGCTCTGATCTTGCTGGTGAAACTGCAGCTGCATTGGCTGCAGCAGCTATAGCCTTCATGCCTTACAACTCTTCTTACTCTAGTCTCTTGCTAGTTCATGCAAAACAGGTCAATACTCAAACAAACTGATCAAAATTTACTCATAACACAAAAGGATATATGGCATTAAAAGAAACTAAAATTAATCAAAGGTTAATCATATTCTGGTGAAAATCATTTCAAATGAGTACTACAATCCCAAAAAACAACATAATAAATATTGTCATTATGTACAGAAAAAATTTCTATAGTTTACATGTTGTAAAGAACCAATTCAACCCACACAAGCTTAAGTTATTGGGTGAGGTTACAATAATGATTTTATATATCTTAATACGTCCCCTCACACAAGAGCCCACTAGGCTTGAAGGGTGGACAATGCACAGGCCCACCTACCTGTGCGAAGAAATAAATTCCACTAGAAAGAAAGTGGGGGGCGGTGAGGATCGAACCCGGTACACCGAGGCTCTGATACCATGTAAAGAACCAATTCAACTCAAAAGCTTAAGCTATTGGGTGAGGTTACATTAATAGTTTTGTATATCTCAACACATGTTATTGAGTTGTCATAGAAGTTCTTCTATCTGTTGCAGCTCTTCACATTTGCGGATAGGTTCAGAGGTCTATATGATGATTCCATATTTGGTGCTCAACAATTCTATTCTTCTTCCGGTTACTCAGTGAGTGAACTCTTTTCTATTTTGTATCTTTTCCTTATTTATATACATAATCATGTCTAAGTCAACTTTTTCCAATGAAGGATGAACTGTTATGGGCTGCCACATGGTTGTATCAAGCAACTGGCGATGAATACTACCTGCAGTATGTAGTGGACAATGCTGTGTATATGGGTGGAACTGGATGGGCAGTGAGAGAGTTCTCATGGGACAACAAATATGCTGGCGTGCAGATCCTTCTATCTAAGGTAAGCAATGATTATTGTTTTCTTAAATGGTAATAGTTGAATTTGATGATAGTATAATCCGATAATCTCCAAAAGATCAATTTGTATACAACAAAATGCAATGTGCTATTAAATATTGTAAAGAACCAATTCAACCAAAAAACTTCAGCTGTTAGTAAAGGTTACATTAATAGTTTTATTTCTCTAACATACCCCTCACACAAAAGTTTATTCGACTTGAAGGGTGGACAATGCACAGACTCACCTACTCGTACTAAGAAACTCCACAAAATTTAATTATTAATAGAATGGGGGCGATAAGGATCGAACTCGTGACCACTTGGTCACAGAGACTTTGATTTTATATAAAGAATTAATTCAATCCAAAAACTTTTACTGTTAGGTGAAGGCCATATTATTGATTTTGTATTTCTCTAATACATATACTGCTAAAGGTCATTTTGGACAAAGTCTCTGCATATTATCAACATTAATTATTCCATTACAAGAGAGTGGTTATAAGTGTAACATATTAACAATTTTAGTACAAAGAAACATGCAATAAATGGTCAATACAAACTTTGCAGGTATTACTAGAAGGAAAGGCTGGTTCTTACGCTTCTACACTAAAGCAATATCAGGCCAAGGCAGATTATTTTGCCTGCGCTTGCTTGCAAAAGAATGATGGTTACAATGTCCAGAAAACCCCAGGTTAGTTACTAAAGTATATCATTTAACAATCATTCTACTCTTTGTGAATGGATTCACATTCTATAAAGAACCATTCACAGAAAAGTATAATCATTTCATTTTTATTTTTGGGCATGCCTATTAGGTGGCTTGGTATACGTGCGTGAATGGAACAACATGCAGTATGCTTCATCTGCTGCATTTCTTTTAGCTGTTTACTCTAACTATCTCTACGCGGCGAAAACCCAGCTTGGTTGTCCAGAGGGACAAATTCAACCTCAGGAGCTCCTAAATTTTGCAAAATCACAAGTATGTATCTATTGGATTCAAGAAATACTTATGTACTTTAGCAATGCTCTCAAACTGTCTAGATCTTATTTAAATTTTATTATATAATATTATAAATTTGAGTGCGAGCCTTCGAGCACCGGTAAAGTTGTTATCACAGGTGTCTGGAAAATGATCTCTTTGCAAAAATGCGAGGGTAAGGTTGCGTACAATCAACCCTCACCTCTACCCTCACAAGTCGGGGAGCCTTGTGCACTGGAATTTGCCCTATATAATACTATAAATTTAATATGATGGCTTGCATTCATGTCCCATGCTATGTGTTATGTTTTATACTGTATTAGTGTAATACCATTCAGCATACATAAAAATATACCATTTGATCCTATCTTGTCTCTGGTTAATCATGCATGTGTAATGTTAATACTATTAAGCTGAAACTGTGAAATTTGGCTGACACAGGCTGACTATATTCTTGGAAAAAACCCCAAGGATATGAGCTACTTGGTTGGATATGGACCAAACTATCCTCTTCATGTTCACCATAGAGGTGCTTCCATTGCTTCAATCTTTGTTCTGCACTCTGAGGTTGGTTGTGTCCAAGGATTCGAGGCATGGTATGGCCGCCCTGAGCCGAATCCCAATGTTGTCTTGGGTGGGCTTGTGGGAGGACCTGACAAAAATGATGACTTCTCTGATGACAGATCCAATTATGAACAAACTGAGCCTACAATTTCAGGTTCTGCTCCTCTTATAGGCATCTTTGCTAAACTGCAGAGTTTATATGGTAATACAGGTAAAGATATTAATCTGCTTTCTCTACTCATATGCTCTTTTGTCTTCCTTTTCCTCTGTGAAGTATCAATCTTTTCTCTTGCATGTCACAGGTTCCTACCAATATCTTACTGAAACACCAGTACCCCAGCCAAAAACATCAAGTGAGTAATATAGAGTCATAACAGATTAACTTGGATCAAATCCAAATAACTATACTTTGAAGTTTTGTTCCTATAGCAATTGTTGTACTAATCTTATATCTATTGACCTGACAGCTCCAAATCCACATATAACACCAGCACATACAACATCAGCAGGTGATTTCAGAGATTTGATTTAGTTCTTATAGTCTCATTACTTGGCAACTTTTTACTCAAACACTGACTAAAGAATGGTATGATTCTGTTTCAGGGGTCCCAGTAGTATTCCTTCATTCAATCACTAGCTCATGGACTGTTGGCACATCAACTTATTACCGTCACAAGGTGGTAATAAAGAACACTTCCCAAAAGCCAATCTCAGATCTTAAGTTGGTGATTGAGAATCTCTCAGGCTCTCTATGGGGTCTCTCTCCAACAAAAGAGAAGAACACCTATGAACTACCCCCATGGCTCAAGGTCTTGAAACCTGGCTCTGAGTGCATATTTGTTTATGTTCAAGGAGGACCCCAGGCCAAAATCTCTATTCAGAGCTTCCAATGATCACTTTGGTAGAGGAGTGGAAGTCAAAAAGCATATTTTGATATAGCAAGAAGCCACAAAAAGGCCTCCCCCGGTTGCACAGATGTAAATGGCAGTCTATGATTAGTTGATTGTCAACTTGCCTTGATCAATTCATACCTTATTACCACACTTGATATTTGTAATATCAGTTTCTTAAACATTTTCCTATAAACAATAGACATATTAAATATAAAATTACATTCTAAAATGAGCATATGAAAAGATCATTTAAGAAAATATTCAACCTGCAATACTAGAACAATTGCTTTAATGCATAATTTCTCATATAATGTAGTGATTTATCCCCTAAAGCAAATTATAATGCAAAAGAAATACAACTTCCTTACATGATAAAAGGAGCATAATTAAGGCAAGGTTAAGTGGTGTCATAATTAAAAGCTTGTCCCACAGTATATGTTGACATAACTAAAGTAGTTAGTTGAGGAAAGAGAAGGTTAAGTGGTGTCAAAATATAGCATTGCTCCTGAATCCAGGACAATAGTTGTTGGACATATATGTAAACAAAAATATGTATTGAGATATATTATTATGCTGATACAGCATACACGTGTATTATACCCTTTATGTCAGTTTGTTAGTCTGTTGTAACTAACTTAGTTAGGTTTTCATGTTAGTTAGTTTGACCCTGAATGTATATATAGGTTCTGTACCGTTCGATACAACGAGCCCACTATGTACCCTTGAGGGTAATGTCACTATATGGATTATACCTCTAGCTGAGGTAAAGATCAGGCTAGGAGGTAATATTCCAAGAGGTAGCAAGCTGATATTAATGACAGACAGATAGTAAGTGTATAACTGAGAAGTAAATGGGCATAATAACAGTACATAAAAGGTAGCCCTTTCCCTTGTGCCCAAGGGTGGTATTTATAGGAGTCCAGGAGTTTAATCCGTTAGGGCTTACGTATTGGAGGTCAACGCTCCTTGGGATTCGTTGTGAGGAGCAGACACGCCTGGCGCTGCAGCGATGCAGGGTCTGCTCTTGGGCGATGTCAGCATGCGGCAGCAGGGCGGTTTCCACTTATGGTCTCTGGGCGATCCGCAGAGCATATGGGGTTCCAAGATAAGACATTTTGGTGTCGTACCTTGGGAGGCGAGCTGCCTTGGGGCATGCGTCTAGGGCCAACTGGTAGGGCTGACGTGCATATAACTTGGGGTACTGGGCTCAGGCTGTTTGGGGCTCTGTGAAACTGGGCCATATGTTACAAGGCCCTTGGGCTTCGGATGTGGTTAAGCCATCCGGAATAGGAGCCCCCCAGCTTGGTAGCAAGCATTGCTTGGTGCCAAGATATGTTGTCATGAACGCCTGACCAAGGCGAGACTGTTTATAGGGCTAACCTTGAGGCGTCAGCTGAACTAGGTCATGGCCAGTTAATACGCTGTCTGACCGGTTCGATGTCACGATTGTTCTCTGGGCGTCAGATAATTATCAGAATGAGCTCACGGTTGATGAGGCGTCCTTAATCATGGGAGTGCCGTGGGACACTTGGTTCGTGTCCCTTGGTATGGGTTGTACACTCAAAAGTAACGGTCAACTTTTACGGTTTTCAAAGGGTTGTAATGATGGCAGTTAGTGACGGTTAACTTTTGCGGTTTTCAAAGGGTTGCAATGATGGCAGTTTCGCCATTGCAATAACTGCACGAAACCCTTCGTTGCGCAGTACGGCGCATTAATTGCGACGTGAGCCTCGTCTTGTCTCCCCAAAATTACCTTAGGGTCCTCCATTAGGGCCACTTGTCGCTTGACGGTTGTCATGATCTGGCGGTCACCCTTGATTGACCCTCCACGTGTACGTTGATGAATAGTCTTTCTTCTCTTATAAGAACGTTAACCTTGTTCTTACTCACTTCTTTCAAAATCTTATAAGCTTTCTCTGCAACCTTCGTCAACCTCTGGCCTTGTTCATACTCAGCTTTCTCCTTTTTCGCCTGCATTAATCTTCGCAACTTCCATTGGGCTTTAAGGTTTTACTTCTTGCTGCACCTTCTCTGGTTCTGTTGTTCCTGTGTAAGGACTTCTGGTGGTTAGGACTCCTTTTTTTCTTCCTTCTTTCAGAAACTCTTTAGTTACAGGTACGCTGTTCTTCGCTCCTTTCTCTTAAGGGTGGTATTTTATTTCTTGCTTCTGCTTTCTTTCCTCAGTTATGGTTAAGTTTAGTGAGATGTCGGCTGAGGAGTTACTTGGGTTAGGAGGAACTATTAAAGAGGAGGAATTTGATGAGGCGTTTGACTCACTTGACAGCATTGAGGTAGGGCCTGTTATGCGTAGGTATCTTGCCAACCTCCCTCTTTGGAGTGGCGGTAGCATTCTCTCTCCTACCCCTTTAGTTCCTGGGGTTAGTTCTTTACCCTACGGTAGGGTACCTGAGTTGCTAGGTTTCAGTGAGAGTGAGATTTTAGACCTTCTGCCGGAAAGAGCCCTGGGGGCTGTCGTTCCCTATTCTGGTGAAGCTTCTGGGACTAGTAACCGTGCCGGAAGGGTTAGCGGTTGCCCCTCTGAGGGGGATCGGCGCGAGCCTTCTCTCATTCCGCAGGATAGGTTTATGAGGTCCTTCAATCGTTCATCTGGTGGCCGCAAGTCCCGTCCTTGTCGCCGTTCGTCGCGGCGTTCTTCCTTCGGCGCTGGGCGACCTATTCGCCCAGTATCTTCTATCAACCGTGATCCCCGATATCGCCCAATGGAAACGCGCTTCCAATCTCATTCACTACATACATACTACTCCAGAGTTAATCCACCTGTCGCCTTACGCACCTCAAACAGTTATATTCCTCCGATATCCAATTCTTTTCATCGCCGCATGTACGATGAGTCGACCGACAACCGACTGGGTAGATTTCATCCAGAAGATGCTCGGCTCACTCGTTATGGCGTGTGGGATGCCATCTTTGATGACATAGGATTGTACAAAATTCCACCCGCCTGGTGGCCCTCTCCACTTTCACACTCAGATTTTTACACATCTGCGTCCGAAACTTCAGACTCTCCAGGTAACTTTCCACTTTGAATACGTAGCGATGCTAGGTTTATTCTGTTGTAGGGCGCGCGTTAACGACGTAGAGAGTGAACTAAGCATTGCGCGAGTTATGAGGCGGTGTGTGAGGCATGAGGGTGAGATGTGAGCCACGAGTAATTTGTCAATTGTAAGCTTGTAATCTTCTTTGATGCCGACTATCGTGTTTGGCGTTTGACTGTGTTTAACCTCATCCCAGGTCTGCTAATAGCCGAGATTCTAATGGCGCATGGCGATTGTGGAAACTAGCGAGCGCTATTTGGCTCGTAACTGGGTGGATGATGACGTTTTGGATGCGGAATCTTGTTACGTTGAGGGTGCTACTTTGGTCGAAGATTACGAAAATGAGGGGAATTTTTACTTTACCGAGGGGGGAATTGATGACCACAAGTGGGATTTCAAGTCTGTGAGTTCAGACACTCGAGTTTGTGACAAACCTGGCCCCAGGGCAATTTCTCAATGGCGTTTCCTAACCTATAAGACTCATTTCACAGACCAGAAAGTTAGGTTTCCCTTTACTGATTTTGAGGTAGGAGTGCTATCTCATCTAAGGGTTGCGCCTTCGCAGTTGCACCCCAATGCCTGGGGGTTCATGCACGTATTTGCCAAAGTTTGCCAGCACTTTGGGTGGGTGAATTCGGTGCGGTTGTTTTTTTACTGTTTCCAGGTGTCTTCTTCCAAAAAGA